ATCTGAGATATTATTATCTTGGTGGCTTTGTTCAGAGGGGTGGTGTATATAACCATGTGGAGTGTAAAGGGGCGATGCATTTACAAAAGTGAAATGGAAGACCATGGGACACCACTTATCAAAACCTCCCCTCACAGCCCACTTCCTTCTTGAAATCCACTCTACCCAACACTCAGACGCCCCCCTTCCCCTTCACCCTCCCCTTTGCCTTCTCCGGCATAATCCTCAGCAATACCAACAAGCCCAGCGCCAAAACGACATTGCACAGCCAAAACAACTGGCCGCCGATAATACCATACTTGACGCCAACAGCATAGATACTCGTCGCTACGGCTGGGGCAATAGCCCTGAGCCCACATTGAGCCGAAAGAGCGAGAGCGTTCAGGGTGCCCAAAGTCTCGCGCGACGGGGCGATATCGTTCAGTGCCAATTGTACACCCGCTGCGCGTCACATTAGCATATGATATGATGTACTGGGTGGGGGGAGTGGGAGGTGAGCGCTTACTAAAGGCCATGGCGACGCCACTACCCAAGCTCAGAATAAGCGGTCCTGTGGACCAGAAGAGTGTTTTGAAGCCATACGCAAGCAGGAAATGATAGGTTGGGCAGAGAGCGAAGAAGATTGGCCAAACAATGGAGCAGAACAAGAGGACGCGTCCAGTGCCGAACCGACGGTGCAGTTTTGGAAAGGCGATGAGGATCCAAATGGCCTGTGATGCACCATTGACTGCTGTGCATGCGGCGATGATTTCGGGGGAGAAACCAAGGCCGCCCATCTCAATGGGCGTGTATTGAAAGACGGGGAAGACAGCGGTTAGGGTGTAGGCTAAGAGCATGACATAGTTATAGACTAAGAGGACGGGACCCACGCCGGGGCTCTTGATGAGTTGCCACGATGACATGGGAGGCTCATCAGTGACTTTGCTATCGCGATGGATGTGTAGCGTCTGCAAGAATCAGTCTCGGGCCAACGTAGTAGATATCCTCTTCAGCTTACCTCTTTCACGAAGAAGGTAGTAGTCATAGCAGCGATGAATGCGATGCCCCCGACGACTATATTGGGCAACGCATAAGGATAGTCGTGAAAGAATTGCATCTTTCCAAGAACCGACGAGTACTTGTCGGCAGGCCTTTCAAGCGCACCACCTATAAACCTCAGCGCTTTTCCCACAGTTCATGTACAAACATCGCACTGACCTAGGAGCGGTCCAAAGAAGATCCCTAGGTTGTTAAAAAAAGCAAACAGACTAAACGCCGTTGCCTGTGTCTTCTTCGTGCTCATCTCGCTCAACATGGCTCTGACCGTCACCACCGTGCCAGAAAACACCCCACTCATGCAGCGAAACACTACCATCTGCCATAAGTTGCTACTCAGCCCAAAAAGCGTGGTCGTGACAGTCATGCCCAGCAGCGAAAGTATGAGCACAGGTTTCCTCCCAAAGCGATCAGAGGCACGGCCCCAAAGCAACATGACACACATCTGAGTCGCTGAGAACAGGCTCTCGATGAGTCCAGAGTAAAAACCTACGTCTTCTTTCTCCACATTTCCGATTCGTTCAATCATGAAATTGATATAAGGAAATATGGAGAAGAAGGCAATAGGGCCCGAGATAGCTGTTAGACAGACAAGTAAGACTTGAGTTCTGGGTAGTGGTATCTCGTCATCATCTTCTTCGTAGGTACCATCATGAGCTATGATATCAGCCTCGTCTGGCCCGAGTGGCTCGGGCTCAATTTCGGTGAGTAATGGCGTTGTCTCATGGCTTGTGTGGAGATTCTTTTGCCTTGCAGGATGACTGGATGTGAGAGACATGATAGTGCCTGTGCGAAGGTAGAACAATGAGGAAAAGGACGCGTGGTTGATGTCTAGTCGGTCGCTGATGATAAATAATCTCACGCGCTAGTGTTTTCTGTCCTTACCTAAAGCGGTGACATTGATATTAAAGATGTTCTCACCACTTTTACATGGGCAGTTCATGAGCACAATCATCCGCAGGGTTGCCTCTACTGGCTTTTGTGACATCATCTTACTCAGGCATACATGATAAGGTATGTGAAAGTGTTCATAGGTTCTAAGCTACTACAATCTTTAAGATCCTTCCTACACCTTCGGTATGGGCCCAAGCTCTTCCAAAATCAATCACAACCATTGGCCCGCTGCGCTATTTTGTGAACAACCGACATATGTAAAACCTCAGGGTAACAGATCGCCAATACAAGAATGTCTCTGCTACTAGGCTTGTCGTGGTCTCGATCATGGCACGCAGTAACACGCTGAAGAAAGAGTGGTCAGCTACAACTTCTGTCCGGACAGACAAGATCACGTACCTTAGAAGCACTTGCGGTGAACAATGGAAGGACCGCTCTCATCGTACTCCTGCTTGGAGATCCACATCTGCTGGAAGGTGGAGAGCGAGGCGAGAATGGAACCACCGATCCAGACGGAGTACTTGCGCTCAGGAGGAGCGATGATCTTGACCTTCATGGATGAGGGTGCAAGATGCGGTGATTTCCTTCTGCATGCGGTCGGAGATACCAGGGTACATGGAACTTCTCTTTGCAAACTCA